CTACCGACCAACCTCATCCCACCCCCTTGACCTGTCCGTCCTCCCTGGACTGACCTATCCCCTTCCTAACTCCCTACCTACACTCACCTTTCCTGGCCCCATCCCCGCCTCTTCGACCTGTTTGTTTCCTCTCCTCTATCCCTCTTCTATCCGCCTCCCACTCTCTCCCTATTTATTTCAAAACCCCCTTCCCCTCCCCCTTTTCTGATGAAGGGTCTAGGCCCGAAACGTCAGCCTCTCTGCTCCTATGATGCTGCTTGGCCTGCTGTGTTCATCCAGCCCTACACCTTGTTGTCTCGGATTCTCCAGCATCTGCAGTTCCTACTATCTCTGATTGCATTAATTGAAATTGGGTTCTCAACTGCACAAAGTCACAGCACAAATCATTTTCAGGAAGCGACCAGAGTTTTGGATATACCTTTAGAAAGTGAGCTTCTTCTTCCCCCACAACACCAACCGTACAAGATCCAACATTTTATTTCTACCTTCAATTTGTCTGCTAATTCTCTCGGTTTGGCCTTAGTCAAAGATTGCACATAATTCACTGTTATGTCTTCTACCTCTGGAAGAGTCTTAGCAACATTCAAAGCCATTTGGAAGTTCAAATTTGTTCAGTAAATTTCACAATAACATTTATGTTTTATGTCTAGCCCCTCCAAATATGTCTTTATTAACAATTCATAGATCCCACTTAAATTCACTAGAATACAAGTTCAATTCAGCAATGATGAGCTTCCACTTTGTTTTGATGCTTTTTGGACAAGCTATATGTCAGAATGAAACCTGAATTAATAGACCATAAGTTTATTTTTGCAGTTGATTATCGGGTGTTTAGTCATTGAACATGAACACGAGGCTGCCAATGTTTTTTAAAGACATGAACACAAATTTTTATTATGTTTTATTTTGTGTAATAACTTTATAAATATACAAGTAAAATTGAAAAGAACGTAAACTGCAACAACAGATTCAATCTTCTTTCCAGAGTATCCATTTAAGATATTTAGTTCCAGAGAAATAGCACTTCTGTTTGAAACCTTTTTAATTTCTTACTTCACTGATTCTTACCAGTCTTCCTCCTCGAGCTGCTTGAAACAGTTTTACAACTTCTTGCCACTTTTGATTGTTGAAATATCTTTCCAGCTTTGGTTGTGTGAAAATTTCTACTCAAACACTCACAGCTTGGATACCTCATAAACTAACCTGCCCTTGTGCCAGGCTGAAACTATTCTACTGAGCTGTAAACCTGATTCTTCTGCTAGGATGAAACTGAAACCTGATACTTCTAAACTGAACAGAATTCAATTTAAACAAAATTATCTGTGTCTCCTGAATTTTTTTTTGTGTATTTTTTTTCTGGCCAAGTAAATACTTTATTAATTAACATCAAAGGTACTTGGAAAACACTTAGGTCACATGCTTTCTTAGAAATGATGGTTTTTAGGTCATTTTTTTCCAAATGACTTTCTGACCTTTTTAATAAAAACCTTCACATAAATGAAAACAAAACCCATCTGTCTCTACTTGAAGAATCAACATTCCCAAATGATGATTATATATAATGTACCTTTATCACATTGGGTGTGTCCACATCATTGATGTTTTGCCCATTTCATATTTCTTAGCAGAAAGTTTGTGGAGAGCACTTTCTTGAACTGATACCATCTGCATGGTAAAGGTACTCTCAGTGCAGTGAGGTTAAGAAATCGATTTTAAAATGAAGGGACAGCAATATATTTCCAAGTGAGGATGGTGCGTCACTTGAGGAGGATTCTGCAAATGATAATGTTTTGTTTGTCTGCAGCCTTTGTCATTCTGGGTGGTAGTGATGCTGCACTTAGAGGTTGCTGTTGAAGTAGCTTAGCAGTCCATCTTGTAGCAATAGTAAACGTTGCAAACATGGTGTGTCACTGGTGAAGGGAGTGACCCTGAAATTGCTGGAGAAACTTAGCAGGTCTGGGAGCATTTTGTAGGGAGTAATCAGAGTTCACATTTCGATTCCTTGTCAGAGTCACCGGACTTGAAATGTTAACTCTGATCTCTCCTCACTTGAGTTTCTTTGTTTCTATTCTTTGTTTAATTTTAGTTGGGGGAGTGAATGTTTCTTGTGGTGGATGTTGTGTTGAAATCATGGACAGCTTTGTCTTTTCCTCGTTCTAGCGACACTATAAGTACTGACATGAAGAAAATCCTTAAATATTGCAGAAAATAGCGTTGAGTTTTTGTCTTTTTGCATACAGCACCTTCCCCATTCCCTCCTTCAATAACAATACACAAATTACATTTTAAATCAAGTTTGTATTTCCTATGGCCTGGCAGGTAAATAAAACAACCCATGTTGAACTCATGATGACAAAATATTGACAGAGATAGAGATGGCAAAGGTACTGGATGGGTAAAAACTAATACGCAGGAAGTACCAAGTTATTGAACAGAATTTAAGTAAACAAAGCCATGGGACAATGCTGTACCATCTGTCCCCACCCGACACTGGGGAGAGAAGGAAATGCGCAGGCGCACGGACACAGACACAGACGCGTGCATGCACAGACACGGACTAGGATGCTGCCTGGCATCCTGGCAGCTTCAAGGTGCAAACCCACCCAGTTGCCACCAGGTGCAGATGCAGTTTATAAGCCTAGTGAACTTGTGCTGGCAGTGGATAGACCGAGTGTGTGGTGGTTCCTGGCGGGCTATAACACCAGTGACCAGTACCAGCACAGCCCAAAGGTGAGATCTCCCTCTCCAGAGCCAGTTTTCAGTTCGCCATTGGCAACGTCCACCAGCTACTGAGCATGTGAAAGCTGCACCCCCTGTGTATCTGACCACCATGAAGATCCTGGAACTGGCCAGCAATGTAGTCCAAGTGAGGAAAAGATCTGTATTCCAGCTCAATATCTGCAATGGTGAGGAACTCGGCAAGTTTCAGGAAGGACTCACTGAAGCCCCAGGGGTGGCTTGCACCCAAACAAATAAGCCCAGCAAGGTTCAAAGACAAGAACAGAAAGAAAGAAGGGGAAAGGAAGGGTCTGCGATCGGATGAGTTTGGCAGCGACATGGCAAAACCAGAACCTGTGAAAAAAGGAGCAGCTTCTCCCAGATTCTGTTCACTGCACTTTTTAATCCACCAGTTAAAATAGGTGCATTGAATTGGGTATCCTTATTGTTGTAATCTTTGTGACTGTTTGTGAGGTTTTTGGATTGAATTCACCCGCTACCCTGAACTATTCTGAACTCCGGCCACCTTCTCGTGACTCCTCCCCTGTTGCTAAATTATCAGGTGGCTGATCTTACATTTATTTCTAGATGAATAGAAATTTCCTCCAACTCACTATTGGAAAGACTAAAAGCCATTGTTTCTGGCTCTGGCTCCAAATCCTGTTTCCGACTCTATCTCTGGCAGCGATCTGAGATCTCAGTCTGCTCAGAACCCTGGTGTTACATTTGCTCTAAAATGAGCTTTGAACTTGATATGTGTGCCATCGTTAAGACAGCCATTTTCCATCTCTGTTAAAATGTTGTCCGTTCCTTGGCTTATGTGCTGCTAAAACTTTCTTTCAAGCCTTTTTTGTTGTTTTGTTGACATCTGCTTGTGCTATTCCAACACAGTCTGGCCGATCAGCCACATCCTTTGCAAATCTGAGGTCATCTAAAACTCTGCTGCCCATATGCTAACTCTGACTAATCCTGTTCACCAATCCACCCTGGTATTCCCGACCGGCATTGGCCTCTAGTCCAGCAATACCTTCGTTTTGGAATTCTCATCCGTGTTTTTGAACCTCCATGGCTTCATCCCTCCCCATCTTTGTGATCTCCAACAGGCCCGCAAACCTTTTCACTCTCTTCCAGCTTCTTGCACGTTCTGTACTCGAGTTGCTCCTCTATTGGCTATGCCGTCTGTCGCTTAGGCCCTAAGCTCTGGATTTCCCTACCTGCACCTCTCCTCCAATGTACATTCTTCTCCTTTAAGACACTCCTTAAAACCACCTCTATATCCAAGGCTTTGGTCATCGGATCCAACAACGTCTACTCATCAGTCTGGGTTGCGTACTGTGCTCTACAATATTTTCAAGAGCATCTTGAGACTTCATTACAACACAGGCACTCAAGAAATATACCGTGTACGCTCGCTTAAAAGTTAAACCCATATAAAAGTTGATCCCACCACTTTTGGTTGAATTAAGTGTAATTTTTCATATACCATTATTAATTTCTTATCGGTACTTACTGCAGTTTATTAATGTAATGACATGTGCAGGAAACTTTTGGATTTCCCCTTGACTTCCAGCAGTGGTCTCCCAGTTAATAAATCAAAGTAATGGGTACCAGATGAGCTTACCACACTATCTTTTGAGAAGCAATCACAAAGGTGTTGCTCGATTTTAAACTGGGGATCAAATAAAAATGGGTTTGAGCATCGACAACCTGGTCATATTCTCATTTGCAAAACCCATCAGGCTCTAAAATATCAGAGAAGTGAAGAAAGTTCATATTTTGGAATTCTGGATGGTGCATAAAATTCATGAAAAGGCAGAATAGTAGTACTCTGTCAGAAAACAAATATTTCACAAATTCTGTCACCTGAACTCCAGAATAAGCTCATCAGATACTGTGGATTTGTCATCCGACATAGAGAGTCCAAAGGACGTGGATTGAAAATATGAGCGTAACACTGATAATGCCAATAAACAAGACCATTATTATTGTGAGCAGTTTTGGGCCCCAAATTATAAGGAAGGACACACTGGCCTCAGAAGGGATCCAGAGGAGGTTTACAAGAATGATCCCGGGGATGAAGGGCTTGTCATATGAGGAGTGGTTGAGGGTACTGTGTCTGTACTCGATGGGGGATATCCGATTGAAACTTTGAGAATACTGAGAGGCCTGGGTAGAGTGAAGCATGGGGAAGATGCCTGCACTAGGAGGAGAGACTAGGACGCGAGGGCACAGCCTCAGAGTGAAGGGACAACACTTTAGAGCTGAGATGAGAAGGAATTTCTTCAGCCAGAGAGTGGTGTGAATCTGTGGGACTCTGTCACAACAGGCTGTGGAGGCCAAGTCATTGAGTGTCTTTAAGATGAAGATAGATAGATAGGTTCTTGATTATTAAGGGGATCAAAGGTTACGGGGACAAGGCAGGAGAATGGAGTTGACAAAAGAATCAGACTCGATGGGCTCAGTGGCCGAATTCTGCTCTATATCTTATGGTCTTATTAAGATTGGTAAAAGAGACATCCTTGTAAAGACTGCAGTCCACAAGAACCCCTAGGTCATAGTAGTTCAGCTTAATGTAGAGGATGGCACAAAAGTAAAACTGACGGCGATGCACCAGCAGTGTCAATCCTTGAAAACGTTAACCGTGTAAAAGTTGACTGATGACTTTTGGGATACATTTGACTCATAGACAATATGTATGTTACGTTTGTGTTGCTGAGCAGCAAACTGGTTGTATTCTTGAACTGCATTTCCAGTTTTATGTAAGATCTTTATTTCTCTGTTTCTTGACCGATACTTGAAAAACCTGGTTTGTATCCTGATTCATATTGTTGCATGTATGTGATGTTTATTTCTTAGTTTATTCCTGACTGTTTCTTTTATCTCTCCTCAGGTCGTTGTTGGATGGATGCTCTGGAATTAGCTCTGCGGTGTTCAAGTCTTCTCAAACGCAGCACAGTCAAGGATGGTGATCTCAATAACTCCATGGATGCAACTCACTCAGGACTGCACAGTCTACTACAAGGCTTCAGTTCCACTCACCAGGGGCACTTCCAGTAGGTGCATAGGCACTGGCTCATTTATTGATCTATTTTATTGGGCCTAGATTGTGAATATCTTACATGTAAGGTAAGGAGGTGAAGTCTGCAAAGAACCATAGACGTCTCTCTGCATTAAAGGGAGATAATGGCTCTGTGCAGCTTGAGGATAACCACTTCACAAGCATGGATGAGGTGAGGGGACAGATCTCCATGAACTAGTACATGGAGGCTAATTAGCAGGCAGTAGGAAAGTAGTACTGACCCTCCAGTTCGTTCATTGATCACAGTCTGAGATACAGCAAGACCCAGTTGTTAGTGCTAGTAATTAGTATAGGCTGCACAGGTTAATGGAAAAATATCAACAGTAATGAGTTGAACAATAGAGGGTACTGCTGATGTGCAGCATGTGTGTTTACCACTGGACATTATGTTCCAACTGGTGGTATTGTAAACTATAGAAGGTCTTGACAATGTATTTGGAGATCTTAACGTTATCATGTAATTGAATATCTGTGACTGGAAATGGGCATTGTGTGTACCAAAGTTGAATGCAACAAGTCCAGGCTGGAATGAAACAATATAAAATGTGAAAGGAAGAAACTGGAAAAACACTAGGTGGGGGTGGGAGGGTAAGCTCAGGGGAAAACGAACACACTCACTTCCAACTCCAGGTATATAGACCTCATAGACTTCATTATCTCCATGACTGTGGCCATCCATAAACTGACTTCAATAACCATAATTAACTTACTCCATCTCTACTCCCTTCATTTGTGCAAGCCCCAATCCTTAGCCAGTCTATGATTATTCCTCCTTCTGCAGTCTTCCTCTCCTGTCCAATCTCTGACCAGTCAACTGCCTTTCTTGGCCTTTGTTCCTGCAATATTCATAATGGTTTCTTCTGTACAGGCAGAGTCCATTTCTTTTCCAAGCCTCCATTATTACATTCCTCAGAAAGCCTATCCTTGACCCATATCATTAAGGGGAGGCAATGGCCTAGTGGTATTAACACTGGACTGTTAATCCAGATAACATTCTGGGGACCCGGGTTCGAATCCCACCACGGCAGATGGTGGAATTTGAATTCAATAACTATCTGGAATTAAGAATCTGATGATGACCGTGAATCCATTGTCAATTGTCAGAAAATCCCATCTGGTTCACTAATGTCCTTTAGAGAAGGAAACTGCCATCTTTACCTGGTCTGGGTTACATGTGACTCCAGACCCACAGCAATGTGGCTGACTCTTAACTGCCCTCTGGGCAATAAATGCTGCCAGGTCAGCGACGCCCTGATCCCGTGATTGAATAAAAGAAATATCTCCTCTATCATTACCATCCTACCTCCAATCTGCTTGAATATGTTGCTTCCTATCACCATGTCCACCTCTCCAAGTCATTGCTGTGGTTTTCCAGGAATGAGGCTGTCCCAGTTAAATTCACAGACAATATTCTGTGTGATTGCAACTATAGAGTACACTCTTTGATCCTTCCTTGAACTTAGCATTGTCGTGGGCATCTTTCTAACGTACAGCCTCATTAGCTGTATAGGAGTGCCCTTTCAAGGCTCTATTCTTGTCCCTCGTGATCAGCTAATGCATCTCCATGAGTTTGTTTCTCGTCCTGTTCCCGCATCTCTAAAGTTTCCCAAGGTTCAATCTTTGGCCCCCTCTGCTGTCTCATTTATATGCTTTCCCTGCATGGCATCATCCACAATCATGATTTGAGCCACCATATGTAGGATAGTGTCATAAATTCTGCAAAAAAAAATGCTGAAAGCATGGTTTTGCAAATAGTTTAGCAGAAGTCAGATACAGAAATAATGGAATGAATGACCTGACTCTAACTGACACTGAAATATAAATTTCAGTGATTCTATATTTGGACTGCCCTTGACTCTACAGCTACCTCTACACTCTCAATTGCTTGATGTTAAACGAGACCATTTGCAGTTGAACACCACGCAGCCAGAAATTATTGTTTATCTACCCTACAAACACTACCCACATTGCTACACTTGGACTATGTAAAACGTAATTGTCTTATTTAATACTGAGATGAGCTTTGAATCCTATGTTCTATTCCACTATTATGTATAACATTACCAGCTTATTTTCATCCCACCATCAGCATTATTTTTTTGTCATCTCCAGACTTTGTTTCCCTGTAATCTTCCTACCCTTCATTCTCCAACACTCATCTAAAATAGTCTCGACTTTGACCTTTTTCCTACACAAAGCCACAGTTGCCCATCCCTCTGTCCTCAGTGGTCAACTCCAACTCCAAACAAATTTATAATCATTGCCTTCTTGCCCATGCTCACTGAAGCCTTATTCCATGCTACGACTGCAATCTACATTAGCTTCAAATTCTTTTTCCAACTGCCATATTCCACCACCACCCCCCGTCCCGAACCCCTTCCCACCGAACCTTACCACCTTGCACAGCAGTTGGCCAATGTGCATTTCCCATCTTTGTCTTACCTCTGTTGGCAGATCCTGCCTTTGCTGCAACCTCTCTACCTGCCACCTTAAGCATCTCATTTTCTACTTCCTTTTCTGAATCAAAATCCTTTCTTGGATCCCACTCGGGTAATTTAACAACACGTTTTGGTTCCAGCTGTTTTTCCTAAGCCTGCTGTCTTTTTTTTTTCCCCTCTCTGTCTAAAGTTCAAGCGATGCTGAATTTGCAAGCCACGTTCAGTACAAAGATGTTGACATGTATTCTGACAAATCGGACCGAGAGAATGATCCTCACCACGATGAGCTGGAAAATGACACAATCGACAAGAGCAGCAGGAGTGAGGAAAGTGACACAGACCTGTCTGAAATCCAGGGGGAGATGAATAGGAAGGCCTTGCCAGAGATGACTTACTTGGCAGAAGATTCAGAGGACTTTGGAGAAGTAAGAATTGTGTGGCAGACACTTAGCATTATTTGGAGTTCAAACCATTGCTTTTCCTGTGACTGTGTGCGGGTTTTTGAGCATGGAGTTTTTCAAAATCGCAATCACTAAAGATCAGATTCCTATCTGGGTGAGATTTGACTGTGAGACACTGCAAAAAAGAAGTTTGGGAAGTGTTGTGAACCAAAAGTTGCACTGTATTCGGAAAGCTGCTTTGAATATTGAGTATAAAGTTTGATAAATTTGAAATTGAATCCATGCAGTGGCCTTCCCAAATCTGAAGCAGTGGAGAGGTTTCTCTAATTGGCCGCGAAGGAAAAGTCCATATGTGGTTTTGATAGAAATATGTTTACTTTCCTTTTTGGTCTGTAGATTGGTGAAACCTCTCAGGCTGAAACCGTGACCGAAGAGAACAAGAGTCTGATGTGGACAGTGTTGAAGCAACTCCGACCGGGAATGGACCTATCTCGTGTTGTGTTACCAACGTTTATCCTGGAACCTCGGTCATTCCTGGACAAATTGTCTGACTACTACTACCATGCTGACCTACTGTCTCAGTAAGTGATGATTTTTTTGTTTTACTGTCAAGTTAGCTCACATGTTTAGAGCATGGGACTAATAACCCAATTTCCCACGTCAATCCCCATACCAACCAGGGAGTCTCTTCTGTTCTGGCCATAATTTTTCAGCCTCCCTTAGACTCGGTGGCGCCAGAGGACTGGAGAGTGGCAAACGTTACTTACTTGCTCAATAAAGACTGTAAGGGTAAAGCCCATCAATTCCAGCCCCTGAAATGGACCATGACATGCTCCCTGGACCTGCTAGTGACCAGGTTAAGGGGCAGATCCATGACGAGGTGCTCTCACACATTCATCCTCCCCCACACTGGAGTCAAAGATCAGAAGCATCAGGCTGAAGTGCAACCAAAAACAACCATCCGTATACACTTGGAGCACAAACTCCCCGAGGTTAAAGACGACGTGGCAGTCTGTGAGCCTGTCTATTACATAGGATAGCAATACGCAGCATCCTCCGCCAAGCCCCTCTTTGTAACGTGGGAGATTCCCACATGGAGAGCCTCCTCCAATGGGGCTGTCCCAAATGTCAGGCATGTCCAGGCTGCTGAGAGGAGAGTGAGGAAATGGGAAGTGTGCAAGAGCAACCTGTACAGGAAATTCACACGGGAATTTCTATGTGACAGCTCAAATTGTGCAGCTGGGTTCCCAAGAGATCTTTTCGGATCTGGGTGTAAACTCTCTTTATATTTTCAAAGATGTCAGTATATATAGTGAGACAGGCTTTTGGCTAATTCCCTGGGCAACAGGTCAGTAGTGGTCTGGATCTTTCTGGAGGAGATGGTCTGGCTTTAAAGGCATTGTGGACGAAAGTGAATACATGTGGTATTCATGAATGCCAGGAGTGAGATTTGAACACACTCTAGAAAGGGACCAGAACTCATCAGGCTTTAGCAAGCAAGACACTCTTTCAACAACACAAACCGAAGTTGCTGGAAAAGCACAGCAGGTCTGGCAGCATCAGAAAATCAGAGGTAACGTTTCGGGTTGAGTGACCCTTCTTCAGAACTGAAACGTTAACTCGGCTTTCTCCCCACAGATGCTGCCAGGTCTGCTGGGCTTTTCCAGCAACTTTGGTTTTTCTGATTTACAGCATCTGCAGTTTTTTTGTTTGTTTTTTAAGACACTGTTTCAATTTGGCACTTTAGACCACACGGCCATTCTGGCAAGTTGCCAAAGGTGGCACTTCAAACAGGAAGGCACTGTCCTTACTGCATTGAAGCGTGGATATTGTTAATCAATTTGTTCAGTGGTGTTACGAAGCAGGTAGAACTTGAACCCGTGCCTTATGGCTCATAGGTGATGACAGTGTGCTACGACAGCCCTTGTCTCATGTTTAGTTGGAGCCTCAAGCCTGAGAGAGACATTTAAGCCCCCGAACTTCTGACTCTTAAGCTAGTGTTTTTTTTTCAATTCATTCACGGGATGATGGTGTCGCTGGCTAGGAAGCATTTATTGCCCATTCCTAATTGCCCAGAGGGCAGTTAAGAGTCAACCACATTGCTGTGGGTCTGGAGTCGCATGTAGCCCAGACCAGGTCAGGATGGCAATTTCCTTCCCTAAAGGGCATTAGTGAACCAGATGAGTTTTTCCAACAATCGGCAATGGATTCACAGTCATCGTTAGAATCTTAATTCCAGATATTTATTGAAATCAAATTCCACCATCTGCCATGGCGGGATTTGAACCCGGACCCCAGAATGTTATCTGGATCTCTGGATTAACAGTCCAGCGATAATACCACTAGGCCATCACCTCCCCAGTTGAGCCACAGCTGTGCTGTCAGTCCTAACACAAACAAATGCACATCACTGGTGAATCTTTTACTGCATAATGAAGCAATGAACTAATTAACAGAGGCAGAACTTTGTAAAATCTTGCATAGTGCTGGTTGTAGCATGGGAGTACTTCATTTGCAAAGCGGAGGGAGCACTTAACTTGTCATGCCAACTGACCTGAGGGTGTTTATTGGACTGAATTTAATTGAACAGAAATTACAACATAGCCGGGTTTATACTCCAAACCCATATCATTTGCTTCATCTAACCATTTCCTTGTATTGATTTCTTCTTTGTTTACATATATAGCTTTTCCCTAAAATGTGCTTGTTTCACTTGCTATTTGTTTCAACCACTTCATGTGGGAGTAAACTCTTCATTCAGGTTGTGGATGCTGGGGGAAGCCTTTGTAAAAGTATACACTAGACAACAAATTAGCGCGCAGTGACTCCCAATTCTGACAATAATCCACAACTCATTGGGTATCATGGGTAAGTGTCATGAAAGGGGAATGTCAAATGAATTAGTGGAGATGAGCTCCAAATGGAGCCAGTGGATGCAGCGAATTTGCAGCAAAACAGAAAAGGAATTGAAATCTTAAAATAAGTCTTCAATGAATCATGCAATCGTTCCAGCTGGAGGGGTTGGTTTATATTTTGGTTGAGTACAACTTCCTGACTTTTGCACACTATATCTCTAGTCACAGATTGCCATACGCTTCGTTATCTGTGATGTGTGGTACTGCTACAACAGCTTGTAGCCACTACAAGTACATTATGAAAACCTGCTTTTGATTAATTAAACTTGTGATTCCTCAGTGACACATTATAAGAATTGTGCACTAACATAAGGAAACACTTGTCTCACGGTGTAAGCAAATGGAAGATACTGAAGTTATTAAACTTCTTGCCCCTTTTTCACATTTTTAGAATCTTGTTGGGGTCTGGGAGATGTGGACTGTTGAGAGATTAGTGGCAGAAACCGAAGAGAAATCTTGACAAGTCAATCTCAACATCAGGAGCTCCAACTTTTATGCATTTCACAAGCAGTGCAGTTAGTTTCTCGCTTGTTAAAGACCTTAATAATGACTTTGATTTGCCTCGTTCATATTCAGCTTTCTATTTTACCAAATGTGCCAAACAAGCTGGATGTGAGAATGTAGGAAGCAGAGCAGGAACCTAGCGGATTAAGCTCAACACTTGCTCTGAAGGATCTCCACGTGGGGTATGCCAAACAGCGTCTCAAGGTACAACCAACAGAGACCAGGTGCAGCCCTCATCCCTGGTCATTGGCATCTGGCAATTGTCAACCTGGTGGCCAGGAGCAATCCAATGGTTTCCATAGCCAGCTGTGATCCTGCCATCATGCTCGCTATCTCAATGTGAAGTGCTCCTATAAAACGGTTAGCATGATGCCCAGGGTGGGCAGAGTGACTGTCTGTCACGTGAAAGCTGTTTGCTACATGCAAGGACATTGAAGGAGCAAACACGTGAAGTTGTTATTTACAAACTCCAGCTGCTTACAATTTGCAATTATTTCATTGTTGATTTGCAACAGGCATGCAGAGTGAAGATGCTTATGGGGTCAGATGTGAATTGAGACATGCCATTGGTTTTTACAAATTGAATTCAGCTGTTTTAATCCTGGCGAAGTTAGCAGCAGTGATGTTACAAAAGGCCAGTGCTGGCCAGGCATGAAACATTATTTACGTAACTTTCAAAGGTGTTGTGTGAGCACCCACACCATCATTTCATCGTCCATCATGGAAGTGTAATGATGGTCTGCATTGAGTGCAGTGAGAAGTTGAAAGGTTGTTGTGGGCCTGGGGGATGAAAGGTGTCAGAGTGCTTCAGGCACACGCTTTTCAACGATGTGTTATGGTCAGTCAGCCCAGGAAGCACCTTCACCGTGTTATTGTACACACTGAGCCTGAAGGTGGATGGATGATAGAGACATGTCCGTCAATATCAGGTGCAGAGTGGTGAAGTGTGCTAGCCCTCATCTGCAGAGTGTGCTTCTGACATCCAAAAACCTCGCTTGCACTTTCTGTCCCCAACATTTCCACTGAGAGCTCTGTCCCTGGTGCAACTGCAAATGCAGGAGGAGCAGGACTGACAGCAAGGTCAGAAGGATACTGTAGAGGAGGAGGAGCACCCGGGTCAGCTAAAGCAGTCTAGAGGAGGCATGAGGCCCAGAGGTTTTCTCCCCTGACTCTGTTTCCTGGGGATGAGGGAGGTATAATGTGACCCAGGTTCCACATGTCCTGTGACGCTGACACAACTACGGTGGGCGCTGGAGCGGATCTGGGGCCTGTAGGAATGGCAGGCCGTCCTCTCCAGACCTACGAAGGTAACAGCTGCACTGAATTTCCATGCAACTGCCTCGTTCCAGGGAGCAGTGGCTGAGCTGTGTGGGATCTCTGTCGGGCACCCACAATCCATCAGGGCAGTGACCTGGTACAAAGTCACAATGCCATCATGCCAGTTTATCTCCCTCCTCCCCCCAGCCCCCGCCATGATCAGTGCTACAGTCTAGACAGGGGTTACAGAAACATAGCTAGGTGCATGGTGCCATCAATTTCACCCTCTGGTACTGAGAGTCGTATCACAACACTCTGAAATTCATCAACAAACAGGGGTTCCCTTACATTAATGTACAGATGATCTACGATCACCGTTACCACTTCCCGGAGATGTGCACCTGCATGGTACCTGCCATGATTCCTACAACCTGGAGCACTCTGGTACCTGATGTGCTTAAGGTCGCAGGGTCTTGCGAGGCTGGTTACTCGGGAAAAGAGCAACAGCATGGCACAGCGTGGGCATTGGAGGCAGGGTTGTGCTGTTGTAGAGGGTGTTTGTAGCCTGTAGACGGATGAAGTATGTGGCCTGATGGTTAAAAGTGACTGGGGTGAGAGAATGGTTTGTATATGTGAGGTTGTGTCAGGCATAAAAACAAAAGTTGCCGGAAAAGCTCAGCAGGTCTGGCAGCATCTATGAATGATAAAACAGAGTTAACTTTTTGGGCTTGGTGACCCTTCCTCAGAACTGACGGTGGCTGGGAAAACGTCAGCTTATATGCAGAAAAAGGGGGAGGGGGATTGGGTAGGGAGTAAATGATAGGATAGAGCCTAAAAAGAGAGAAGAGCAGTTGGACAGACAAAAGAGTTGATAACGATCAGGCTGGAAGGGGAAGGTTTTATTGTGTCAGACATGTTGGCCTAATGTGGTGGGAAGCATGGCATTGTAGCTGCTTTGCCACAATGCTGGGCAGACGTAATGCCCAATTGCCAACGCTTGTTCAGGCACTCAGCAGCCTTTCAAAGATGAGATAACAAGGTGTAGAGCTGGATGAACTCAGCAGGCCAAGCAACATCAGAGGAGCAGGAAAGCTGACGTTTCGGGTCTGGACCCTTCTTCAGAAATTTCTGAAGACCCGAAACGTCAGCTTTCCTGCTCCTCTGATGCTGCTTGGCCTGCTGTGTTCATCCAGCTCTACACATCGTTATCTCAGATTCTCCAGCATTGACAGTTCCTGCTATCTCGGCCTTTCAAAGATGGTGTGTGCCTAAGGGTCTTTCAGCAAATATCCACTGAGTGGAAAATTGCTCCGAGAATGGCATGTGGTAAGATGAGGTGGGTATTAAGTGTGATGGGACACTGTAGGGGCGATGTCTAGGTAGTGAGTGAGGTGAGTTTGGTGAGATATGGTGAGTAAACTGGCTAGGCCTCATGACAGAAATCCCTCCAGAAAACTCAACGTAACTTGCACCTTTGACCGAAAAGCATAAGATTTAGCCTTACGATATAACACAGCGTGGAGCTGGGAGAGCACAGCGGGCCAGGCAGCATCAGAGGAGCAGGAAAATTGACATTTCGGTTCGGGACCCCAAGATTCAGTCCACTATCTTTACCAGCTCTACTTGGAGTTTATCACCCATTAATCTTTCAACATTATTCTTTCATCCTAAACACTTGCTTGGTTTTCCAGACCACCCTACTGACTGCCAAGTTATTGCCAGAATTGGCAGTCGCTAAGCTTTGTCCTCCTCTTGTTGTTCATGGAAAACCTTTGCAAAAAGGCTTTCCCCAATAACCACAAGCAAGTGTTAAAAACAACCTTTAAACTTAGCCAGTCCATAATTTGATTGGAATCATCAGCTCTAATCCTATGGTAAACATGAAAGTCCTTGTCATGTTATTTCTGCTATCTTGAAACAGAATTAAAATAGTTTGAATTCTGCACCTAAATGTGTCATACATAACCAGTCAGCACTTAATGCTGACAACAGGTATCAAAAATGGAAAGTGTTATTTTCCCTACACTCGCATTCCTTTTGATATTCACCAAAAGTTACTCGAGTGCCAGACTCCTTGGATCCTGTAGCTTCGCTGGACCAGATATCGGAAAATTTTAGGTTGCAAGCACAGCCAAACTTCTTTAATTGGCCAGGGCACTTGAAGTCCCAGGGTGGCTCAGGTTCACAGGGGATAACTCAAAATTCTGAAACTTATTGCAGCTTTTGCAAGATGCCTGCATCTGGCAGCCCATAAATGGATATGTAGTGCTCTCTCAGCAGTTACCTACACTTAAGATTTCTGATTCGTGCTTTCTATTTTTCCCCAGAGCTGCTCTGGAAGAGAATGCGTACAGTTGCATGAAACAGGTTCTGCGATGGTACCTCTCTGGGTTTTACAAGAAACCAAAGGTAAGACAGGATAAACAGCAACAGGATAAACAGCAACAGGATAGTTACCAGGAGAAGGAGCCCAATGACAAATGTGATGAGTACCATGGTAAGGTCTCTCTTGGGTGGCTAAGAGACTGGAGTGGTGGAACTTGACTTGGAGATTTGTCGTTTGCTGCCCCATTACGGCAGATGGTTAAGGCACCTATCTGTCAGCCTATTAGAATTTGTTCATCCATGTAATTCTGCATTAACCATGCAAAACGCAAAGTTGCGAGTGATGGGCAAGAAGGGATGAGCAAGTGATAAAATATGGGCTGAGCTTTGGATGTTGGAATTTGTGGAAGAGGGATTGGAAGATGTTGAAGTGGTGATAAAATACAGTGGTGCTGAGGTGGGAGGCCACCACTATATTAGAAATGGAAGAAAAATTATCTGGTTGTTGGATAAGGTGATAAATCTGAAGCTCAGCCAAATTAAATGGGGCCTGGTTGAAACTAATCAAATTGCTGAGGAGATTTCAGTGCCAAAGGTTCAGATTTATGGAGGCGAGTGAAAAACTGATTTCCGGTTAGCAGGCACTTTAATTCGGGTATAACTTGATACAAGCAAACAGGTTCACAGTGTAGATGTCAGTGTAAGATAAAGTGGTGGCGAGATTAAAGCTGGTGTCATCTCAATGTGTTTTAGAAGCTGATCAGGTATGTCATTGAGGGCAACCAGGAGGTAAGAAAGGGGGGGAGGGACAAGGATTCTGCTGTCTCTACCAGTGATGTTGTGGGGTGAGGGCACTCCCAAAGAAGTAGACAGGATTCAATGAAGCAATTGTGTTGTCAACCAAATTAGACACAGTGAGGGGACAAGATAAACGTAAAGCTCTCACATCACAATCACAAATGATGCAATTTGTCATTGCCAGAATAGTATAGTAATGTGAGCAAGAGGAAACTAGACTGGAGAATTGAAGCAAAATCTTCGCAAAGAAGAATCGTAGAGTTTTACAGCGTGGATAGTGGCCCTTCAGGCCATCATGTCCGTACACGTCATCAAACATCCATCTGTTCTAATCCTATTTCCAGCACTTGGTCCGTAGCCTTGGAATGCTATGACAGTTTAAGTGCTCATCTAAGTAGTTTGTAAATGTCTTGAGGGTTCCCTTCTTTTAGGCAATGAATTCCATATATCCACAATGCTGTAGATGGAAAAGCTTTTGTCAAAGATACTAAAAGACATCACTGTGAGCTCGGAGAGGATGGTGTTTGAACAAAGAGAATAATTTACAATTACAACGTAATTTACAATACAGTGCCTGGAGTGAAGACGGACGGTTGACTGGTCAGTTGTTCCATAGGAGGTGAAATCAGGACACTAGGGATGCTCATGTCAGAAATCTAAGCTTGCAGAAGGCACAGTTTGAGAGGAAGGAGAAATTGCAAAAGGCAGTTTAGAATGGGAGATTATTTTCCAAGGTCGAAAGCAGCAGGTGAAAGGTCAGAGACATTAACACTGCCATGCTTAAAATGACCGAGACACTTCTAGTAATGAATGCCAAAGCCAGTGACCCAGCAGGTGTACTCAAATTTATTACATTACGTTGCATAGAATCTCACTGTTCATCGCTGTCATGTTAAGTCAGTTAAATACATTCAGTGTTTTTAAACAATCTACCATCCAAAAAAGGCAGTTTGCATTGTAACTTTATACAGGTGATCATATCTTAGACGAATGCAAATGCAGGAAAGTAGGAGAGCTGGCTGGTGCCATTTGAAACAGCCTTTATTCTGAGCTACTTAAGCCTTTCAGCCATGACTTTGGTCTTGACAGCCTTTTGATTTGTGCACTGCTTCCTTCACTGGGCTGAGACATCAGCTGCCAGAGCTGAGTCTGACCTTAAAACTAACCGAATCCAGATTAAAACCACTTTAAAGATGTCTCACAACAGCAGGGATGACGGATGGTCTCTTTTACATTTACCTTTGTTTCCTGCAGGGTCTAAAAAAACCATACAATCCTATTTTGGGAGAGACTTTCCGCTGCTACTGGTACCATCCCAAAACTGACAGTCGGACATTTTATATTGCAGAGCAGGTAATGCCCTCTTTGAATCAGTGCGTGCTTTATCCATCTCCATAGTGGGCCATGTAAAGTATAAATATCAATGGTGCTTGTGCCAAGCCTTGTTCTGGGTACTACAGCATATATATTCTGACTTGCATCACGCAAACATAAATCAGTTTGGAAGCGGAGTTCTTGTTATTTTGAGTCATTATATTTCCTTCTCTGGAAGAAATATTCAGATGAGTGCTAGGGGCAAATAAACAGTTATCTACTTGAAATACCTGACCTGCTGAACATTTCCAGAATTTTTATTTAATGTTAATTTCTGGCTTTTCTAAAAGTTGAATGAATCTGTCTGCAAGGGGGTGTGTTAGGCGTGAATCTGTTTCTGTGGGGATGTTGGATAAGTGTTGGAGATTGAGGAACGTTGACTCTAGAGAATAACAATGCCTGAAATGATGGCAAAGGGACAGTGGTGTATCTTTGACGTCACTGCACCAGTAATCCAGAACCCATGCTAATGTTTGGGGGACATGGCTTTGAATCCTACCACAGCAGATAATGAGAATTGAATTCAACAAAAGTTTGAAATGTAAAAAACTGATGTCCTTTGGAGAAGGAAATCTGCCATCCTTACCTGGTCTGGCTAATATGTTGACAATTGCCCTGTAGGCCATTAAATATGGACAACAAATGCTGGCCTAGCAGTTAGGCCCCATCCTATGGATGGGGAGAAAAGGGGTATAGTGAAAAAATGAATCATGAGGATTTTTGAGTTAAATAGGGATATCAATGTCAAGGATAAGAAATAAGGGTTTTACAAGTTTGTTTTAGGAGAAGGATTGTTGGTTCAGAGAGATTTTTTCTGTTTATGAAATGTTTTCCTAATGGGCCACAAAGTTGCGGAATGACTGCCCTTTCTTCTCCATCTCAGGTATCGCATCACCCCCCCATCTCTGCCTTTTACATCAGTAACAGGAAGGACAATTTCTGTATCAGTGGCTCCATCCTGGCTCGCTCCAAGTTTTATGGTAAAGTATTTCGGAGCAATCCTATCTTCTGATGATTTTAGTTATAACAATCGTTTAGTAGTACAGAAGTTGAGCATTGCTGAAGAAAATGAGGCATTTTGTCAAAGCCTGTTTGCAGTGGTCAAGGCACTGATTAACCAGCCTGTGCTTGCAAAATCCAAAACACACTGTCCAAGATTACATGTAATTCTAACTGAACGGCATTTGCTAAATGATCCTGAGTATGCTAGGAATTATGCTGACAACAAATTTGCGATTGTCATGATGGGCTCATAGTGCAGTATCTGCTGTAAGTTATACCTGTCAAAACATAGGGCATTGATATTTGCAGATGAAAGAACATGTACACATTGTGACTGTTTCAATTCAACAGAACAGATGACAGCATTCTCTGGTTCATTTCTCAGCACAGTGCCTTGATGAATCAGAGTCAACTTTAAAATTTAATCAAAGCTTCGCAGTTAATTGTCTGTCATCATCTAACTGGTGCAATCTCCATGGCAAGATTTGTACCAATCAGAGTCAGCACTTTCCTCTCATACAGTACACATACAGCTTACCCTTTATTTTGGTATTTCTTGAAAATTGTCCAGATTGATGCAATAGGAAAAGCTTCAACAAAATGTATCATTTTTCAGCAATCAGCAGTTAACGAGCCAGTTTCTCACCCATTATAGGGAGTTTTATGGATAGGAGGAGTGGGAGAGTGGTTCCCCATTAGTAGCGTGAGATTGTGCAAATATCCATTATGTGAATACTGCACATAGGGGCAGCGTGGTGGCTCTGTGATTAGTATCACTGTCCCTCAGCACCAGGAACCTGGGTTCGATTCCAGCCGCAGGTGACTGTGGACGCACATTCTCCGGGTGCTCCAGTTTCCTCCCACTGTCCAAAGATGTGCAGGGGTTAGGTGGATTGGCCATGCTAAATTGCCCCATAGTATCCAGGGATGTGCAGGTTGGATAGATTAACCATGGGAAATGGAGGATTAAAGGGATAGTGTAGGGTGGTGATGATGCTTTTTGAAGGATCGTTGTGAAGTTGATGGGCCGAATGGCCTGCTTCCACACTGTAGGGATTCCATGAAATATAAAACTCATTGGTTCTTGAATTTACTTTGGAAAGGGAAGCTGCTATCCTTACCTGGTCGGGCCTACATGTGACTCCAACCCACAGCAATGTGACTGTATCTTAATTGGAATTAGGGATGTGCAATAAAGGCTTCCCCAGCCAGTGACACCCACATCCTGTGAATGATTTTTAAAAACACGTGTGAGGAGTCTCAATTGAATATGGCCCACAAGCATTATTTCACCCTATCTCATTATCAATTAGCACTCTCACAGCAACAGGAATAAAATACTTCCAGAGATTCTCTTTAGAACTTGGGTCTGAAACCATTCAGTCTCTTGGTTCTACATCTTCAGCTGTAAAACACGTTGGGACGATCTGAGGTCATGAGAGACATTATTTAAATGCAAGTGTTCTTCTCAGTGTAAAAGAAGCTTGAATCTATCTCCAACCTTTGCTACTCCTGAAATGGAAGGTTTTTCATTCCCCATTGATCCATACCCATACTCATCCAGATAACACAAAAAAAAAGTTTAAAAAGTAAGTCTTGGTGTTCAGATAAGTAATGGCAAAGTGGATCCCACAGCATTTAAACTCAACAGTTTACATACAGATAGTATAAGTCCTGTTGGATCTTTCTTTTTTTAACTGTGCTGTAAATTCTGTTCAAACTGTAGAAGTTTAAGCTGCTTCTTTCCAAGAATGTTTTCCTTTCTCTATTGCAGGGAATTCAATGTCTGCCATATTGGATGGGAAAGCACAACTACGATTCCTTAATAGACACGAGGACTACATTATCACCATGCCATATGCACACTGTAAAGGTATGGTTCTGGCTGCTGTGGCCAAGGTATCTCTGCAATTTGTGGTTGTACACCACAGCACAGAACTGGAGTGCAACTCACAAAAAGGATTGGAGAGGTTCTTGGATTGTGGAGCACATTCTTTGGGAATATCAACCCCACTGTAATCCCATTACAGCCTTTGGGTGATTCTAGAATTATGTGATGTGGAGGTGCCGGAGTTGGGCTGGGGTGGGGGGAGAGGGGGAACAAAGTCAGAAGTCACATGACACCAGGTTATAGTCCAACAGGTTTATTTGAAATCACAAGTTTTTGGAGAGCTGCTGCTTTGTCTACTTTACCTGACATAGGAGCAGCACCCCAAAAGCTTGTGATTTCAAATAAACCTGTTGGACTATAACCTGGTGTTGTGTGACTCCTGGCTAGAATTCGATGAGCAGTAATCTGGATTTGTTTACTGTGGCTGAAAACTTCTTCCAGCTGTCAATCATCTTTTTAAATAAGTAACTCAATACCGCAGCTACTGCCACTCTTTCCAAAACACCTGTTAAACATAAAGACATGGATGAGCCAAAACTTTCTTCAGTCAATTTTGTCCCCACCATCCCATCCTGTCAGTCTCACCGCTCCACCCTTCGTGAGTACTTATTGAGCCACTTTGTCCCACCATGTTGAGCTCCCTTCCTGCGATTTTCTGCTTTGCTAACTCCGTCTCTGTCTCAAGATAACTCCACAAAACATTTGTCTTAAACTGTGAATTTATCATTTGTGATACTCTTTGTTTTCCTGAGCTTCTGTCCCCACCCTGTAAAAAAGAGCACTGTGGAAAGGTAAATTGCTGTTGATGTCCACTTTCAGTGCTTCCTCAGTAGCTTCAGTCCTGCTTCCATTATGTCACCCATTTCTAAAACCATGTAAGACCATAAGAAATAGCAACACGATACGCCATTCTGTTCTTCGGGCCCGCTCAGCTATTCAATGGGATCATGGCTGCCCTTTTCTCATAACTGTTGATTCCCCGACTGATCAAGAATCTATCACTTTCGGTCTTAAATATACAAGAGGACTCTGTTCCCACAGCTCTCTATGGCAAGGAGTTCCAGAGGCACTCAACCCTTGGGGAGAAGAAATCCCTCCTCATCTCAGTCTTAAATTGATGCCCCTTTATTCTGATACTGTGCCCTTTTGTCCTAAACTCTCCTATAAGTGGAAATATCCTCTTAGCATTCCCCTTACGAATCCTACAGGTTTTAACGAGATCACCTCTCATTCTTCCAAACTCCAGTGAGTAGAATTCCAATCTGTTTAGTCTTTGCTCGTAAGACAATCCCTTCATACTGGGGATCATCTTAAGAACCTACTCTGAATTAATTCCAGTGATATCTTTCCTTTAAATGAGGGGACTGAAAATGCTCACTGTACTCCAGATATGGTCTCACCAGCACCTTGTACAGCTGCAGTAAGATTTCTCCACTCTTCTACTCCAATCCCCTTGAAGTAAGGGCTAACATTTCATTAGCATTTCTGGTTACCTGCTATGTATTAGCTTTCTGTGTTTCATGCAAAAGTACCTCCACATCCCTTTGTGGTGCAGCTTTCTACAGTTGTTCACTGTTTAAATAATACTCTGTTCTTTTGATCTCCCTTCCAAAATAAACAAATTCATTTTCTCACATATTATAATTCATTTGCCATCTTCTTGACCACTTTCTTAACCTATCAGGATCTCTCCGTAAACAGTTTTTATCCCTCTCCCAATCTGCCTTTCCACCTATTTTTCTCATCATCTGCAATTTTGACGACAGAACATTCAACTCCTCCCTCCAAGTCTTATCTGTGATATTACTCCCAACATCTTTGCAAAAGCTAAAGATCATCTGATGTTTTTTTTTGAGCCTAGTGAACGGTTCCAACATCTTTACACAACCTTATACAGCTAGAAAGAATAAAGAAGTGTAGAATTATTTAAATTGGAGAAAGAGACTGCAGAAAAATCATTAGCATGGATGGAGTGAATAGCCAAAGTCTTTTTCCCAAGGTGGGAAAGTCCAAATTAGAGGAGCATAGGTTTAAGGTGAGAGGGGAAAGATTTAAAAAGGACCTGAGAGACAACTTTTTCACTCAGAGGGTGGTGGAATGGAATGAGCTACCAGATGGGCGGCACGGTGGCTCAGCGGTTAGCACTGCTGCCTCACAGCGTCAGGGACCCAGGTTCGATTCCACCCTCGGGCGACTGTCTGCATGGGTTTCCTCCGGGTGCTCCAGTTTCCTCCCGCAGTCCAAAGATGTGCAGGGTGGGTGGATTGGCCATGCTAAATTGCCCGTAGTGCCCAGAGATGTTTAGGTTAGGTGGGTTAGACATGGGAAATTAAGGGAATGAGTCTGGGTGGGATGCTGTTCAGAGGGACAGTGTGGATTTGTTGGGCTGAATGGCCTGTTTCCATACTGCAGGGATTCTATGATTCTAGGAAGTGGTGGAGACTGGTACAATTACAACATTTAAAAGGCATTTCGATGAATAGGAAGTGCTTAGAGGAATAGGGGCTAAATGCTGGCAAATGGGACTAGATCAGATTGGGAAGTCTGGTTTAGTGTGGATGATTTGGACTGAAGGGTCTGTTTCTGTGCTGTAGACTCTAGAAAGCTGCAGCAGAGGGATTGGGAGTCCTGAGGCATAAATTGCAAAAGCTAGCATATAAGTTCAGTGGGTAATAGGGAAGGCAAGTGGAATGCAGAATGTAGATTTTGTTATTAAGTGTTTTTCTGGTGGAGATAGATTTTTAATTGGTAACAGAATCTAGGTTTATGGGGAAAAGGCAGGAAAGTGGAATTAAAGATTATCAGATCAGTCATGGGTAACTTTGTAAGACCATCCAAAATGAGCTTATTGATAGGAGATGGAGGGTGGTGGTAGAAGGCTGTTTTTGTGACTGGTATAGTGATGTCCCACAGAGATCAGTGCTGGGACTCTTTATTGTTTATGACATTCACGAGTAATATAGCAAGATATGGGACGGATGATAAATAAGTTCAGAAAACTTATTTTCTGCTGCTGGAAAAGCTCAGCAGGTCTGGCAGCACCTGTGAAGAAAAATTCAGAGCTAACATTTCGGTCTGGTGACCCTTTCTCAGTTCTGCTGAGCTTTTCCAGCAACTTCTGTTTTTGTTCCTGATTTACAGCATCCCACAGTTTTTTTGGTTTTTATGATAAATAAGTTCGCAGATGACACAAAGATTGGCCAGGTGGTTGACAACAAGGAGGAGCATGCTAGGTTGCTGGAAGATGTAAATGGATTGGTCAGATTGAGCACATCAGTGACAGAGGGAATTTAACCCTGATAAATCTGAGGTGGTGTACTTTGGAAGAGACAGCAAGACAAGGAAGACTCAATGAATGGTAACACATTAGGAAGCTCAGAGGAACAGAGGGATGTTTGTCCTCATGTCCCTTAAAGTGGCAGGACAGGTTAATAGAGTAGTTAAGAAGGCATATGGGGCATTTGTTTTTATCAGTCATAGCATAGACTATAAGAGCAGGAAGGTCATATTGTAGCTGGTACAGAGGTTTAGTTAGGCTGGAGGGCCGTGTGCAGTTCTGGTCACTACACTGTAGGAAGGGCTGGAGGGGCTGCAGAGGTGTACCAGGGATGGAGTGGTTCAGCTATGGAGAGAGGCTGGATAGCCTCAGGTTGTTTTCTTTGGAGCACAGATGGTTGCCGGGGTGGGAGGAGGGGAAACCTGTTCGAGGTGTATAAGATTATGAGGGGCATGGACAGGGTGGATAGAAAATAGCTGCTCCCCTGGATTCAAGGGTCAGTAACAAGGGGGCATAATTTTAAAGTGAAAGGCAGGAGTTTTGGGGGGGATTTGAGGACAACATTTAGACCCAGAGGGTGGTGGGAATCTAGGAGGATGGTTAGGGTGGCATATCTCACAATCTTTTTAAAAAAAATTACTTGGTTGAGCACTTGTAGTTTCATAACATTCAAGGCTATGGGCCTCCTGCTGGAAAGTGAGACTAATGTAGGTAGGCGTATATTTTTGGCAGAAAAGACTTGGTTGGCTGCAGGGCCTTTTCTCTCCAGTATTCTATGAACCAGGATCATACAGTGAAATTAGCTCTACATTCCACCAAAATAAGACAACATGCTTAAATATTCTGCTAATTCTTGCCATAAGGAAAAAAAATACTGTTTTGTCTCTTATCAAGTAAATGTATTCACCTTCTATGTTCTAGGGCTTTTGTATGGAACACTATCCCTAGAGATGGGAGGGAAGATAATGATTGAGTGTGAAAAAACTCAGTACAGAGCAGAGCTTGAATTCAAGTTGAAGGTAAGTGATAAATTTTCCCAATCTTTTAGCTACATGGCTGGGTGTGTTATCACGTTAATGTTTCACGTAGAATTACAACAAAGTTCCTTGACAAACTGAAATGCATGTGCTTGTAAGGAGAACTGTACATGCAATGGAATAGGATTTTGTCTTCAATGCCTGGGTGATAATCTGGTAAAGTACCTGTTTGTTGTAGAACCCATTGAATCCAGCAAATTTGGTGGACTATGCATTGAGCAAATCAGCCCATCACATTAACATGCAGATGAGGTTTCTCTGTGTCCAAGGTCACTTCTAAACCATTTGACAATTGGTCAAATACTTAGCAATCATTTCATGTAATTGCAGTAAATTCCACCTGCTCCATTAGGAGCATCTGCTTCATTGTGATTCACTGCTGCGATTGTAATTACCTCCTGTTTACTGGCAGCCCTTCCTGGGAGGCAGTGATGCTGTGAACCAGATCACAGGAAAGATCATGTTGGGAGAGGAGATACACGCCACACTCGAGGGACACTGGGTAAGTGTCTTGGGGTTTGAAGACAACGTCAGTTCTCTGTTTTTGGTGCCATTTGTGTTTTCCCAATTTGCTCCCAGCGAATTTTGCAAAGGTGTCTGTGAATGACTGGCAGCTCTTGGAGCGGGTAAACAAACCCTAAGTGCCCAATTAGGAGGTTTCGGATTGGCTGTCCAACCCAAGGACAAGAGCACTCATGTGACTATTAAGTTCAGCCCAACACATCAATCATATAGCATTCAAGAGTTCTTCCAGGAATATGAATGAATCCCGTGAAGTTTGTGATATTTAAAGTTTTATTTTCCAATGAGCAAAACTCCCTGTAGCATTAAGTCCATTAATTAAATGCAGTCCTTGGGTTGCAAATAGGTTTCGTTCCAGAAACCGTTTGCAAGTTGATTTGTTCACAAAGTTAATTTGTATGCCAGTCGGGACACAGCGCAGGACAACGTAAAGCAGCTGCTCACAAATACAGGAAATGCTCGTATGTCAGGTCTATAAAATTACAATCATATACATTCGTAAATACAAGCATTTCGTAAACAGCACCCCTGTACACAAATATTTTAAACACGTGTATCTTAAGATCACCCCCACTAATTCATAAACTACAAGACAAAATCAAATTTTTTTACACCTGAACCACATCCTAGCCCGCCACATTATTAGTACCTGCCAGGTTGAGAGGGTTGTTATGATTGTGAGGGATTAAATTACTTTCCTCTCTCTCTGCTCTCTTCCTCTTCATCACAGCAACACTGTTTAGAAAGGATGCACTTGACAATTCAGTGAGTGTTCAACTGTTAACTATTAGCTGTCGTCATAAAAGAACAAATCAGACAAGTTTTCTTCTAAGTTTGTTAGAGAAGAAAATTAGCTGAAATTATACTTAAACTGTTTCAGAGAAATAATGATATATATTCTGACTCATATGTTAGTGCACACCCCATACAAACCTGCACACGTACAAACAAACATAGAATACCGAGTGGGAAGCGTTGGTTAACCAAGTTGGTTGTTAAAGGTTAGTCATCCCAGCTCTGGGACATCTCTTCAGGAGTTTCTCAATTTAGTGACCTAGGTGCAATCGTCTTCCGAGGCTTCATCAAAGTCCTTCCCTCTATCATAAGGTCAGAAGTGGGGATGTTCGCTGGTGATTTCAGAATGTTCAGCACCATTTGCAACTCCTTAGATCCTGAAGCAGACCACGAATGTCAGGCAATGACCATATCCAATAAGATAATTTAACCATCTACCCTTGACATTCAGTGGCATTGCCTCACTACTGCAGTGTTCCTCACTGTCAACATCGTGACGGTTACAATTGACCAGAAACTTAACTAGATAAATGCTGTGGATACAAGAATTGGTCAAAGGCTAGGAATCCTGCAGCAAGTAGCTCACCACCCAACTCCCCAAAGCCTGTCTGCCATCAACAAGGCATAAGTCAGGAGTGAAATGGAATATTCCCCCATATCCCATAAATGAATTAGAAAATTAGAGTCTAGAGAAGCAAAAGGGGCATGCAGTCTGTAGATACTTGTCACTTGGTTGACATTTGTGATAAGACATAAAATATAGGAGCAAAATTAGTCCATTTGGCCCATCAAGTCTTCTCTACCATTCAATCAGGGCCGATACGTTTCTCAATCCCATGCTTCTTCCTTCTCCCCATAACGCCCTGTTATCCTAAGACTTCCCCTTGATCACCCCTCTACTTAGTATTTTTGTAGGCATGAACCAATTTGGGGGTCCTTCTGGAAATGGCAGTACAGGGTTGCTTTCCTTCGAGATGGTCATGGTCAACAAACAGGATTCAAAGCTTGCAAAGTGGGATGGAGAGAGGGGGAAGGAGGGAGGGATCCCACATGGTCTTCACTTGTCAACATCCCAACTGCTTGTCCTCTTTCATTGCGTTGAAAGCAGAAGTTTAAACACACAAAAGATCTCCACCAGTTGAATCGCTCGGGGTGTTGCCTTGATACTTGCTTATGGGGACGGGATATGTGGTTCAGTCAGGTTCCACTCATTTCTCTGCTTGATGGGCTTTTGCAGACGTGGTTTGTCCATCTCAATGGATTGAAGTGTGGAAGATATGAATTGGGGAGCTATCTTTATTGCAAGTTCAAGTCACCTTTAGTCTCTGTTTTTAATTTGGGTCTCCAGTTAGTAGATTCCAAAAACAAAAGTCATTATTTGACATAAGAAATGATTTTGTGACAAAATGTAAAGCCGTTTTTTTTTTTTGGTGATTCCATATTGCCCTGTGATTATTTCTTCTGTGGTTACTTTTCCTTGCCAAATGAATTGAAGAAAACCCAGTCTTTTTGATGATGTTGATGATAATCTAGGTGTTGTTTGGCTTTGTAATGATGGATCACTGTGTGCAGCAGATTGACCCGCCTCTCACCTGAGCTGAATTTTAAAAGGGATAGGGGCATCACAGAATTGCCCCAGCGGCATTCATTGGCTGTTTGGACTTGAATTAGGATAAAGCAGAACTTCCATGGTATCCGAGAGGTAGTCCTGCCTCTGAGAGCTGCTGACCAATCAAATGGCCAGCAGCCCTGTTGCCCTGGCAGTGCCTCAGGGGGTAGCGGCCAATCCCATGAAGAAGGGGAGGGGAGGGGAGGGCAGGCAGACAACTGGCATGCTGCTACTGCAATGTGCCCCCATTTTACCTGCTTCCTCCACCACCCCCCCCCCCCCCCCCCATTCCTTTCTCATCCCCCATCTCCAATTCCATCCCCATACATGGCTGTAAACATCAACTCTAATTGAAGCACAGCAATATCTCCTGACCACCTCTGACCCCATCTATCGTCACTGCACTGGTTTGGCTTTGGACTGCCCATTCAAAATGTCAACTAAACCGAACAACCAAACTGGCTGTACTTAATCCAAAGAGCAAGTGAGCCAAAGATTGTCAAGAGAGCTGTTTGAAACATTTCCACAGATCCGGAGGCTGGGTTAAGAACCCTTGCTATATCTGATGTGGGTGTGTCTCATGGGGAATGAAGATAGACAGCCCATTGCTCTTCCATCTACTTCACCTGGAGCAGCGTTGAACCCCTTTTGTGTGTGAAAGGTGACTGCTTTTGTGGTCACTAATTTCCTTTGTGTGATTATCATAAAATTCACCACGACTGTTTTCAACTAAAAATTGGAATATCAGGAAGTAGTATGAGCATCACTGTCATGGTGCAATTTTTTTTTTCCGTTCTGCTACAGGATCGGGATGTGTATATCCATGAAAAAAACGCTGGATGCTCTGTTAAATTCTGGAGTGTCACCAGTGAGATCCGAAAACAGCGTTTGGTGCGGCATGTTGTGTGTTTGGAGGAGCAGGACGACTTTGAGTCTGAAAGGTACGTCAGGCAGGCAATAATAAAATCACAGCTTTAGGTAAACAAAGAAGAAAGGAAATGGTGGTTTTGGTGTGAACCTACAGTGCGTCTTATTAGATAAGGCACAGATTTGCTGGAGGAACTTTTTGTTCCTTTCACTTTGTAAAGCAGGTTCAGGAAGCAAGTCTAAAGCTACAGTCTGACTCAGATTTAACTGGTGCTTCAGTAGGTTTTAATCAGTTTGGCCTCAGAGTCAGAAATGTTACAGGTTTAAGATTTATTCAGGATTTGAGCACATGATCTATATTGGCACCTCCGGGTTCTCCCTAAAATGGCACATGAAACTGTGACGATGGCTCGATCTTTTGGAATGTCCTAGATAACATTTCTCCCTCAGCCTAACACAATTGATATCAACAAAATAAAAACAAAAAGCTACAAATGCTGGAAATCTGAAACAAAAACAAAATGCTGGAGAAACTCATCTGGCAGCATCTGTAGAAAGAGAAACTGAGTCCATGTCAAATCCAGTGACTTTTCGTCAGAACTCCGTCTCAGAATTCTGTTTCTCTCTCCACAAATGCTCAGTTTCTCCAGCACTTTTTTTTAAACAACTGAAATCAAATTAACTGGTCAATCATCTCATTACTACTTGTATAACTGTGCTGTGTGGGGTTCAATGCCATATTATACAATCACTGCATTCAAATTAATAATCTGTGAGTGAACCACTCTGAGAAACTTCTGAAAAATATAATAATAAGCATCTTTCTTGTACCTTGGTCAAACAATTGTATTTAGAGCTAACCTGGCTGAGCAGTCATCCAAGGGGATGTTTGGTACTGTGTGACCTGACTTGTGTCTCTTTGAACTCCATCACTTTTTTTAAATGGCTAAAATTTAGTGAGGAAATGATTCATTCAGGATTGCAATAGTGGTGTGTTGTAATCTGATTCTTCAGTATTGTAAATGTGTAATTGTTATAGCAGCTGAGCCCTGACTGACTTCTATATTATTCTAACCAACACTTTTATGTCAATATGCTGAATACTTCATCCAGGACTTGGCCTGCTTTATTATTAATGGGTTATATAGAGTTCAGAACCCAGTGTTTCACTATTTTTATAGCTTCTTTGTAGCTGCCAAGTCTTAACCTACCCTTGTGTTAATAAGTACTATTTGGGAATAGGGCACCCTGCACTAATGGGTTCTATCTAGCACCAAGGACCCAGAATGCCCCTTTGTTAATGGATTCTATTTAATAGCTTTTTAGTGAGTTTGATACAGTGTGGCATTAAAGGGAGAGTTTGTAATCTTTTCTGCTGTTCTTCCAGGCTGTGGCAGCAAGTGACTAGAGCAATAAAGAACCGTGATCAGGAACAGGCGACGCTGGAGAAATTTATTTTGGAGGAAGCACAACGCAAAGCTGCCAAAGAACGTAATGATAAGCATGAAGACTGGGTGCCGCGACTATTTCAGCAGGATGTGGCAACAAAGAACTGGCAGTATAAATTCACAGAGTACGTGGTTTTCATCACACACATTTATATACGGAGGAGGAAATACAATGAATAACTCTCACGTGCCCAGCAGAGTGGATAATGGTACCATCCTATGGGCAAGAAATTACTCCAGTTCTATTTCCTGCATTTACTTAGCTGAGCTGCTGTACAGCCATTGCACCAGCACTCAGAGGAGGGTAAAAGAATTATGTAGCTATCTTTTGCAGATGGCCTCACTGATAAGTGTATCCGGGTAAAGTTTAGAGGAGGATACGATTGAACTCAGCTGTGATGTCCATCCCATGACTAAATAGACTGATGTAACTGTGGTCAGGGTTTTTCACTTCTGTGTTAACCAGCCTGGACAATTTTCCTGTCCTCTTTAATGCAATATCAGTCTCGTACTTCTGGATAATCCACAAAGAAAAGATCATTTGCTGTTCTGGCATCTGGACAAGCCTATCCAACTAAGAATCAGCACCTTCAGATGAGCAAAACAAAAAAAAAATACACAAGTAAATTTGAGTAATAAATGTCGTGGCTAGGGTTTAAAGTGACAACATTTGTGTTTCGAGTTCCACAATGTTGCTGGCACATAACAGATGGCACTGCTGATGTGCTTGTATCTGTTTTAAAAATTTTAATCCTTTTGCCTACACCTCAGAGTGTGATCCAGCACCTTCATAAGTAGCTTTCCACAAATCCATCTGAACTCCGAATGTAACATGAGAGGTTCTGGAGTGACCCATGCAGCCTGTCAACTAAATCTAAATAAATGAACAATAAACTAAGCTCTTTTTCATTTTACCAGAACTATGGGGAACAAAGATCATTATAAATATGATTATTCTTTATCTCAAGCACCTCACAGGTGGTGGATGTGATGCAGCAATAAGGTTTCTGGTAGACAGATGTGGAATTGAGAACACCTGTAGTATCTGTGCTAAAAGCAGTGAGTTCACAGTCATTTAGAGCAAATACTTCATCCATACTTGTGCTCTTTGGAAAGCATAATTTTGCATAGAAAGCCACTACAGTTAAAATCTCTGAGCCATATTGTAGATTATAATATAATTCCACTGCTATACAATTTATAATCCTTAGGTTTTGGTTCAGTCTCAACCCTAGCTCTATTTAGCATGACTCTACAAACACTTCCTGTTGGAAATGTTGTCTTTTAAATACTTGCTGAGTCTTTTGCTTTGACTGTAGAATTCCTGCCTCAAGTTAGAGGGAACAGGATCAGAACCCGGTTCCCAGAAATAGAGGTTGAACCTCTAGAATTGGGATCCAGCAGAATATGCCTGTGTTTGGTGTGTGTAGTTAGGTGCCCTCACCATACAAGTAGTGAAAGACTATCACATCCTCACACCTTTCTGGATTTACTGGCATATTAGTCATAGCTTTGGCCATAGCAACATCATCCATGCCATGGCCTGTCAGACTGCTCAGCCTATGAATTTTTCCACTACTACACACTATCCATAAGGGAAAGAGAATGAAAATATTTAAAAATAAAATCCGAGTGATTTTCCAAGTTTTATTTGGAGTGAGGGAGCCAATATGTGGTAAATAGAGCTCAGTTGCTGCTTTTCATTTTAGCTCAATGTAGGCCCTTCCCTAGTTTCTGTGCTTTATAACTCTATGACTCCAATCCCTTATGGGAGGCTTCCACAACACCCGGAGAGATTTACGTGCATTATTTGTGATGCTTCTCTGCCTTTTTATTTTTGTCTTCCAGTGCCAGTCCCTGGAATCCAACAAATGACATTGTTCAATTTGAGAAGGATGGAATCATCCAGACAAATGTTCGGCACCAATCAATAACAATCAAGTCAACAGATGCGATCAGCAACAACAGTCAAATAAGACGGCAGGTCATGATCAAAATGAACTGTAAAATTGTACAACACAAGGAGAAAGCCATTCACCCCATTTCAACAAATAGAAAAAGCTATCTAGTTAATATCATTCCCTGGTCCATTCTTTCCCAAGAGTGTGTCCGTTTCCCTTGTTAATACTGAAAGATTCTGCTTTCACAACCATTTTTGGTGAGAAATTTCATGACTTAAACAAAGTTGTGTGTACAAGAGATTTTCCCTAGCCTTCGCTTTTTTTTGGTAATTATTTTAAGTTTATGCTCTGATTACCAACTGCTCGAACAGTACAAAATAACTTTGAACAATTCTGTTAGATCTTCTTTTAGCCTCTCTGTGGTTTTGACATTTTTCCAAACAGCAAACAACATTTTAACTTGCTGTGTAACCTATGATTTGTTAAATTTGTCATTACCATTTTGCCTTTGTTTTATTCATGAAAGCTTCTTTTATCGACATTTTCTTTCATCTGTGCATCTCTGTTCACTCTTGTCGATTTTATATTTTGGCTTCAAATAGACAAACACTTCCCTTTTTAGGAATAGAAAAGGTCATTGGGTTCAAGAAGATTCCTCGAAGAACAAATACCCACTTCCTAATGTCCCTTTCATGTGACTTGTTTCTAAATTTGTCTCATGGGTGGAGGGCAGTACTCAATCTCTGTGTCTAAAGTAAGATCTTGAGCTACGTACACATCCTATAGTTAGCACTTCCCATCCTTATTTCCCAAATAATTTTGTACTCTTCTCACTTGTCTTCTTTTAGCCTTCGTTGCTCTATTTAAGACAGTTCCAATCTCTCCAGTCTTTCCTCAACCAAACTTTTTTTTTTTGATAATATTTTGCTACATTCAGGAAATGTGGGCTTTGCTAGCTAGGCCAATATTTATTGTCATTCCCTAATTGCCTTTGAGAATGGTGTTGGTGAGCTACCTTTGTGAATGGCAGCAGTATATTTGGTGTAGGTAGACCCACAACATTGTGAGGGAGTTCCAGGTTTTCCAACAGGGATACATTTCCAAGTCAGGGTGGTATGTAACTTGGAGAGGAACTTTGCAGGTGGTCGCGTTTCCACAGATCTGCTACACTTGTCTTTCCAAATGGATTGTGGATTTGGTAGGTGTTGTCCCAAGAGTCTCAGTGAATTTCTACAGTGCATCTTGTAGATGATGCACATTGCTGCTGCTGCTGCTACTGTGCATTGGTCATGGAGGAAGTGAATGTTTGTGGATATGTGCCAAGTAAATGGCTAATTTGTCCTGGATAGTGTCAAACATCTTGAGTGTTATTGGAGCTGCACTCATTCAGACAAGTAGGAGTATTCCATCACAGTTCTGTCTTGTGCCCTTGTAGGTGGTGGACAGGCTTTAGGAAATGAGGACATGTTTCTTACTGCAGGATTCCTGGCTATGACCTGCACTTGCTGCAACGATATTCATATGGGTCATACAGTTTAGTTTCTGGTTAATGGTAACCTTCAGAATGTTAATATTGGAGGATTTCACAACAGTAGTGCTATTGAATGTGAAGGGTGAATGGGTGGATTCTGGAGGTAGTCATTGCCTGGCACTTGTGTAGAGCAAATGTTACTTGCCACTTGTTGGCCCAAGTTTGAAATTGACTAGGTCTTGCTGAATTTGGACATGGAGAGTATTTGAGGAGTCACAAATGGTGCTGAACATTCATCATTGATGAGCAGCTGAAGATACTTGTTGCAATGTTATAATATCCAGTCAGAAAACTGGCCTCCCACAGGGACAGGTGGTTAAAAAGACATTTGGCATGCTTGCTTCATTGGTCAGTCCTTTGAGTATAGGAGTTGGTAAGTCTGGTTGAGGTTGTACAGGACATTGGTGAGGCCTCTTCTGGAATACTGTGTCCAGTTCTAAGAAGGATATTATTAAGCTGGAGAGGGTTCAGAAGAGATTTACCAGGATGTTGCCAGGTGTGGAAGGTTTGAGTTATAAGGAAAGACTGAATAGGCTGGGACTTTTTTCACTGGAGCATAGGAGGTTGAGAGGCCACCTGATAGAAATTTATAAAATAACGAGGGGTATAGACAGAGTTAATGGTAGTTGTCTTTTCCCTAGGATGGGGGATTTTAAAACAAGGGAGCACATTTTTAAGGTGAGAGGAGAGAGATTTAGAAAAGGCATGGGGGCAAATTTTTTACACAGAGGGTGGTTCGCATGTGGAATGAACTTCCTGAGGAAGTAGTGGATGTGGGTACAGTTACAATGTTCAAAAGACATTCAGATAAGTACATGAATAGCAAAGGTTTGGAGAGATATGGGCCAAGAGCAGGCAGGAGGGACTGGTTTAGTTTGAGATTATGTTCGGCATGGACTGGTTGGACCAAAGGGTCTGTTTGCATGCTGTGTGACTTTATGACTCTTTGACAAGTGACTTGCTAGGCCATTTTAGTTAAGAGACAAGCACATTGCTGTGAGCCTGGATTCATATGTAGACCAGACCAAATAAGGCCAGCAGATTTTCTGAAGTACGTTAGTGAATCAGATGGGTTTTTATGGCAATGGTCTCATGATCATCATTAGTTTTTAAGTCCAACTTTTTTTTACAATTCAAATTCCACCATCTGCTATGCTATTGCCTCTTCATGGTTTTGACATTCTTTTAAAACAGGAACCATTTTACTTTACAGGTAACCTATGATTTGATTAAAGTTAGCATTTGCTTTTCTTTTATTCATCAAAGTTGTTTTTAACAACCTTTCCTCTCATTTGAGCATCAGAGCTCCAAAGCATCCCTGTTCTTAAACTCCTTTATTTTTAGCTCATTTTAATTCATTTACGAGATATGGGCGTCGCTGGCTGGTCCAGTGTTTATTGCCCATCCAGAGTTGCCCATTGAGAAGATGAGAATTAATCTGCCCTTGGAGAGGCAGGGATTGATCAACAATAATCAATATGGCTTTGTTAAGGGAACGTCACATCTGACAAACCTGATGAAATTTTTCAGAGATAACCAGGTGTGTAAATGAGGGCACTGCATTCAGTGTAGTCTACTTGGACTTCAGCTAGGCTTTTCCCACATGGAAGACTGCAAGTGAAACTAAGAGCCCATGGGTCCAAGGGAATTTGGCAAATTTAATACGGAATTGGCTGAGTGACAGTAAGCAGAGGCTGATGGTTGAAGGGTGTTTTTGTGACTGGAAGCCAGTGTCCAGTGGGGTTCCTTGGAGATCAGTATTGGGGCCCTTGCTATTGGTGCTGTTGTGATATATATAAATGGTTTAGACTTGAAAATAGGAGAGTGTATCAGTCAGTTCACAGACAATATGGAAATTGGTGGAATGGTAATTAGTGAGCAGGATAGCCTAAGAGGATATAGACGGGCTGGTCAGAGGGGTTGATCAGTGGCAAATGGAATTTAATCAGATAAGTATGAGGTGATGAACTTGGGCAGGACAAAGAAGGCAAGGGAATACATGAACAAAAGGACCCGAGGAAGCACCAAGAATCAGAGGGACCTTGGTGTGTATGTACACTGGTCCCTTAAGGAAGTGGAACAGGTAGATACAGTGGTTAAGAAAGCATATGGGTTTATACATAAAATAATGAGAGGTATAGGTAGAGTTGATGGTATTTGTCTTATCCCTAAGATGGAGAATTACAAGACTGGGGGCACATTTTTAAGGTGACAGGAGAGAGATTTAAAAAAAGATATAAGGCAAATTGTTTACACAGAGGGTGGTTCGTGTGTGGAATGAACTTCCTGATGAAGTGGTGGATGTGGGTACAGTTACAGTGTTCAAAAGACATTTGGATGAATATATGAATAGGAAAGGTTTGGACAGATATGGGCCAGGAGCAGGCAGGCAAGACTAGTTTAGTTTGGGATTATATTTGTCATGGACTGGTTGAGCCGAAGGGTCTGTTTCTGTGCTATAGGACTCGACAACTTGCCTTTATTAGCCAAGGCATAGTATTTAAGAGTGGGGAGGTGTTGATGGAATGACATAACATGTTGGTTAGGCAGTAGCTTGGGTCCTGCGTGCAGTTCTGGAATCCACATTAAAGTAGGGATGTGATTGCACTGGAGAGAGTGCAGAGGAGGTTTACCAGGATGTTGCCTGGGCTGGAGAGTTTTAGTTATGAAGAGAGATTGGATAGACTGGGGTTGTTTTCTTGGAGCAGAACAGATTGAGGGTTGGGGGTGGGGGCATGACTGAGATGTTTAGTATTATGAGAGGCATAGACAGACAGAAACATTTCTCCTTGGTGGAGAGATCAATGAATGGCACACAGATTTAAGACAAAGGGCAAGAGGTTTACAGCAAATGTGATGAAAAATGTCTTCATCCAGAGAGTGTGGAGGGAATCCAGAACACACTGTAAGGGTGGTACAGACAGAAACATTCATAACATTTAAGAAGGATTTAGATGTACACTTGCAATGTACACCTACAAGACAGTGGGGCAAGTACTGGAAAATAGGATTCGAATTGTTAGATATAGTAAGAACTGCAGATGCTGGAGTCAAACATAACAGTGTGGAACTGGAGGAACACAGCAGGCCAGGCAGCATCAGAGGAGCAGGAAAGAAATTTCTGATGATGGGTCCCGACCTGAAACATCAACTTCCCTGCTCCTCTGATGCTGCCTGGCCTGCCGTGTTCCTCCAGCTTCACACTGTGTTACCTTAGAATAGTTAGATAGCTGTTCTTAATTGACCAAAGCACCTTTTTCTGGACCCATGGTCTGTTATGACCGTGACTCTGTGGTGAGCTGCCTTCTTGAACTGCCGTAGGTGGACCCACAATGCTGTTAGGGAGGGAATTCCAGGATTTTGACCCAGTGACACTGAAGGAACTGTGATATTTTTCCAAGTCAGGAATGTGAGTGACTTGAAGGGGAACTTGCAGGTTGTGGTGTTCCCACTATCTGCTGCCCATGTCCTTCGAGATGGAAGTGGTTGTGGGTTTGGAAGGTGCTGTCTAAGGAGTTGTGGTTAATTTCTGCAGTACATCTTATAGTTTTATATTCCTATATACTAGCAGGCAAACACCGAAAAATAAATTTTAGGAAAATGAAAGGTTAATAATAATAATCAGTAAAAGCTGAGCAAATTAATTTCAAACCAAACCCATTTCCTCATATCCCTTTGTATGTTTTTTTGTTCTGTGTCTGTATCCTGGCTGTGGGCCAGAACCCTTGTGTCTAAACTAGGGTTCTGGATACAGTATACACCCTAGGCTAAGTGTAGCTCCCATAATCAGCACTTCCCATTGCCATTTCCCCTTTAGTACTTTCAGTTTCCATTTTCGCTCAGTGCCCCAGCAGTCTAATTTTCCCACTAATGCCATTTAGACAACCTACTGACCTCAGTCGTCTCTTTGATGCCCAGAGATCCCACATTGCCACAGTTTTCCTAGTTTTTGTTCAAGTATTCAAACCTCCCCCAGTATTCCTTCAAAGCTACTAGAAGTACCAGTCTTAAGAAGTAATGGAAGACAGAAGTTAGAGAGTATACAGATATAATTATTGCAAGGTCGAGGAAGGTTATACTAACAATTGCACTTGAAATCCAGTGAGATTTCATTATTGACACAAACTAATGTACTATCTGGCAAAATAAACTAGGTGCTTTTTGTCTGTTTTGTAATTCAGTCTTTCCACATTACTGTCTTCTATAGTTTAACTTCTGTATTATTCTTCCTTATCTCTGTATTTAAACCTGAATCTTTACCCATTTTTAAAACTTAAGTCTTTCTCCTGTGCTTCTGCTGTGCTGTTGGAACACATATCTCTTGACTGCAAATCAATTCTACATGGCAGTCTTTCAGCTGATGAAAAGACTGAATATTAAAGTTGATCTGTTCCAATCTAATCACAAGGTTTGACTTTATATTTTGAATTGCTTATGTGTAATTCAGTACAATATATCATGAAATATTTAGTTTTATTCTTTTTAAAGTTGACATGCCACTTTAAAAGCTTAGCCTCTATATGAATGCAGTTACATTATGTATGTCGAGTGAGGGCAGTAGTAAGTTAGGACAGATTGAATTATAGTTGTCTGCATTGCTAACAAGTGCTTTCCGTTAGCAGGTCTCAGTTCAGGAATATATTGGGTGCAAAACCAGTGATTGCTCAGCACCAAAAGGGTCACAGAACACGGAGAGCAGTTGTTCAACACCAGAACCAGTGCAAGATGACTCATCCGATGAGGGTAGGTGCTCTACTTCCCTGAAAATTCAAAAGGAGCTCTTCATGTTGCAACACTGTCTTCAAATAGCACAGGACCTGGTACAATGTGATTGGGCTGGAATATCCGTTATCCTGAGCCAAGTACAGATCACTTACAGCAGGCTTAGGCCTGGTGGCAATCACTTGGCAATCAAGCTGCCTGACTGACCCGAGTTTCTCCAGCACTTTCGGTTTGTATTTCAGATATCCATTATACCCAATACTTTGCTTTAGTTTGAGCATCAATTAATAAACTGCCTGCTTTGCATTTCTTTGGGGTTTGCAGCATCTCCCAGCATACCACCAGAGGAAAATTAGTGGAAATCCTGGACAAATTATGTAATTTGACAATAGCGGTTGTTTGACAGAAACCCTGGAGAAATAGTGAGAGTGGTAAAGTGGTAGACCAGATGCATCCCTGTAGAAATTCTACTTCAATGTCTCGACTCATACATAAAGAATGGGCAGTGAGGAAAGGTCTTTACAACTCCCAGTGTTTATCAAAGTCTGGGCTGAAGGAAGGACAAAGGAGAGAGAATTTGAAGTAAAACACATGCTTCAAAAGAAATCAGGAAGGGTATCTCAAATGATGGAGAGAGGCTAAGGCTGGAATCAGGAAGGCTAAGAGGAGGCATGAGGAAAGAATGGCAGATTGCACTAAAACAAATAGTTATTCAAACATATTAATAATAAAAGATTAGTGAAGGATAGCGTGGGGCCCATAAGTAGCAAGCAGGGTAAGCTGCTCACTGAAGCAAAGGGTATGACGGAGTTACTAACTGAATATTTTGCTTCTGTATTTGACAAAGTAGAAAATGGTGACAGTGGCCTAGTCGAAAAATGTGGTGTTGAGCAACTGAGCAGTATAGTGATAGATAAAGAAGACATACTAAAAAGACCGGTAGCACTCCAGTTAGAGAAGTCACCAGGCCCGGTTGGGAAGCATTTTAGCTTGCTGAGAAAGACCGAATTATGGAACCGTGACAGAAATTTTCCAGGCCCCTCTGAACACAAGATCTGTCCCGGGGGACTGGAGGATTGCAAATGTAACACCGTTGTTTAAGAAAAGGGCAAAGGATAACCCAGGAAACGACAGACCTGTCAGCTTGAGATCAGCATTGATGACATTGGGAAAACTGATTGAGGCCATAATATGGGTTGGCGTAAATACACACTTACAGAAAAGTAAGTTAATATTAGACAGTCAACATTGCATTGTCAAGGCCAGATCATGTCTGACTAATTTCATTGAGTCCTTTGACAAGGTGACACTGGGTAGTGGATGAGGGTAGTGTTGTGGATGTTGTATATTTAAATTTTCACAAAGTATTTGATACGGTGCCAAATGACAGGTTGGTTAGCAAATTGGGAATGTTTGGGATTGATGGGTCCTTGGCAGCATGGATTAGAAGTTGGCTAAAAGATAGAAAACAGAACAAAGGTATAGATGGGCATTTCTCAGATTGGAAATGGATTGAAAGATGGTGTTCCCTCGGGATTGATGTTGGGATCTTTGCCTTTTCTGATTTATATAAACAATGTGGAGATGGGTGTTGAGGCCAAAATCTCTAAATTTGCAGATTATACTAAGCTCGGGAGAAGATTGAATTGTGAGAATGATGCTGAGTGGCTTCAGAGGGACGTTGACAAGTTGGCCCAATGGGCAGGCACCTAGCAGATAAATTTCAATGCAGAGAAATGTGAAGTTTTATAGAAGAAACATGGAGAACAATACAGACTGAATGGTACAACTTTCAGGGGAGTACAGGAGCACAGGGACCTTGGGGTTTAGGTGCATAATTCTCCTGAAGGGGTCCAGGCAAACTGAAACAGTTGTTAAGAAGGCATATAGGATCCTTGAGTTTATAAATAGAGGCATAAGAGTATAAAAGCAAGGAAGTGAGGCTACACCACTGAAAATCATTGGTCAGACCACATTTGGATTATTGTGCTCAGTTCTGAGCACCTTATTAACTAGGGGTCACAATTTCAAGACTGTCAGCAAGAGAGCTTAGGAGTGAGATGAGGAGAAACTTCCTCACTCAAGAGTGTTGTTGGGATTTGGAATGCACTGCCAGGGAGAGTGGTAAAGGTAGATTCCAAACAAGGTTTCAAAAGGGTGCTGGTTATATATTTGAAAGTGATGAATTTAGAGGGCTACAGAGACAGGGCTGAAGAATGGAACTGGCTGGGTAGCCCTTTTGGTGCCAGTGTAGACACTGAGTCAAATGGACTCTTTCTGTAGCGTAAAATTCTATGGTTCTTTATATGCTGTTGTGACCTCAAATTATGGCAATTATGCCTGGTCATCAGCTTAATCTCTAGAATTCAAGTAGCAATGAATGTGGCAATAGAAGTACTTTACAGCCTTATCCCTGACCTAATTTCTAATACATTTTGAACCACGATCAGCCTGTGTAAACCCATGCCTTTTTATCTCCAGGTGAGTCTATAACAGCATCAGATTCTCAGTATCTTAACGCCATATTTGGATACATTTCCGAGAGTCAGGGTGTTCATTCACAGTGTTATAATGAGCTTCTTAATCACAAAACTACGAGACAGTTGAAAACTGAGTGGTTTGGGTTGGAGCCATAGCTCAAAGGACATAGCACAAAACCAGTGGATTTGATCCAGGATACCTAACATTGCAGCCGTCCTGAATTCTGCATTGTACTTATACATTTAAAAAGATGAATTCTTTACTTGTTACATATCAAAATTAGAAATTTCATGGCAGATTTCTGGTATTGCGATACCTAAGCTCATAGCAACATCAGCTATAGTTGGAAGTTTCTTCCTGCCTTTTAGTACAATCTAAGAGTAATCTAATAGCTCCTCACCAAAGAAGAAAAATTTGAACAGTAATTTCTACAAATGCGCTGTTTGGGACACATGTTGTCTGTACTGGAGGATCTTTTTGCAGGAAGGTGGGTGGGAGGAGGTGTATTCTAGGTAGCTGTGGGAGTCGGTGGGCTTGAACCCTCCCATCCACCTTCCTGCAAAAATGCCATCCCCTATTCCCAATTCCTTCGCCTCCGCCGCATCTGCTCCCAGGATGAGGCATTCCACTCCCGTACATCTCAGATGTCCTTGTTTTTCAAGGACCGTAACTTCCCCCCCTCTCAGTGGTCGAGAACGCCCTCAACCGTGTCTCCCACATTTCCCGCAACTCATGCCTCACACCCCGTCCCCGCAATAACAACCAAAAAAGAATCCCCCTCGTCCTCGCGTACCAGCCCACCAACCTCCGGATCCAACGCATAATCCTCCGACACTTCCGCCATCTGCAATCCGACCCCACC